AAAAATCTACCTGTTTTACCATCTTCCACCGCCCCGCACACCACGCATCTCCCGTCCACGATCAACCCCCCTTTTCGGCAACCACAAACGTACATGCCCACCCCTCCCGTCTCCGCCCACACTTGATGCGTCCATCAACGGACCCATACGCGAAACGTCGTCGCGTCGGCGAAGCCGCCCGTGCTACATCCCGCCCGTCTTCCTCTTTTTTCCCTCCAATTCTATCCCACACTACGCCCTCCAGCAACCCCTCTCTTTCTCTTCCTCACTCTTCTGCCTCTCTGCCTCCTGCCTCCCAGCTCCCCGATTTGTTTCTTCCCGCCCCGTTCACACCCATCCCCAATATCAATCCTGCTTCAGCCGCAGAGCCTTTCACACCCAACCAAACCCTTACCCCTCCTTTCCCGCACGCTCCCTTCATTCCCCCACTCTCTTCTACCGCTCAAATCATCAACAAACACTCGGCCGTCTCGCATCCTGCGGCGCACCCTGCGGCGCATCCGACTTCCAGTTCCTCACTCCTGAGAAATTCTCTTCTCTCCTCTCCACGCAACCGCGTTCCCTCGTCGTCAAACTCTGCCAAAGTACCGCGCCCACGCCATTCTCCGAACGGTATGAATCGCTTTCATCCGCCTTCAGTACCCGCCCCCGGCACTATTGGTTCCATCGCCCCTGTCGTGGAAGCTCTCTCCCTCCTTCCAGACGAATCCCCGATCATCGCCGCCCTTGCCCAAGTTCTTTCCCCACATGCCCCCGAAACCCGACAAACATCTGGTGCCGCCCGCCAAGCCATATTGGCTTTTCGCGGCTTTCAGCCCAACACCTCACCTAACTTTCATGCACTCACTGTCCTCAGCAAGGTCGATCTCGAAATTCTCGCCTGGATCTTTACCGTCTCCAAGAATGGCCGCAAGGATGACGTGGCCAGGCGCATTCTTTCGAGCCTCGCTGCACCGGTTCGGTACCGCACCCCACCTCCGACTAGACGACCCCCCGCATTGAGAATCCTCGGGTCTGTCATGAATAGGACACCCGGCTCCGCCGCTGTTCCTCTCCACCCCCCCATCGTTCCAAGAGCCAGCACAAGCGCAACAAATTCGTCCCGCGGCAGCAGGAGTAACATGCCAAACTTGTCCGGTACTAGGGGAAGTGGTCCCTCATCGGGTGAGGTGCTGATGCAGCACTTGCAGCAGCAGCTACATGCCCGACAATACACCTCCAGTAGCGTGGGTACTTCCTCATCTAGTGCGTTCGGTCACACAGTGGGTACTGCGGGGGGGGCAAGGCAAATGCGCTCGACAGCATCACAGCACCGCAACAGGTTAATGAAGAATGCGGTTCTCGAACTATTGCAAGGCTACGACTTTAGCGCCCCTGAGAATCCGTTCAACAAACCGCTTAACATACCTCTTGGTGTTGCGAAAAACTTTGTTGTGTTCAATGCCATGCAGTTGTCGAGGGGTACTAATGACCCAGTACTGATGTTTACTACTCCGCCGCCACTGCATCCAAATGTGAAGCCTGAGATTTTAGGAGGGGATGTTCAGATTCATCTAAGATGTCTGAAAGTTGAGGTCGGTAAGCAAAAGACCGAGTGGAAACAAGCATGGCCATTTCCAGCCTCTTGTCGCGTCAATTCTCACTCCGTGGTACTGAACCAGGCACAGCGATACACAAACGGAAAGCTTGCTGGACTGGACACGGCAACCAACATAACACCGTATTTGCGGAGATTTAAGGCGACGTCGAGCGACACGAATCGCGTGGCGCTGCGAAGGCAGTCGAGCAATGCTACTCCCGCATCTGGCCAGTATGTCATGTTTGCCCAGGAGGTTCTGGTCGTGAACAGGGATACGATGGCAAAAACGGTTCACATGGGAAGCGAGAAGTATTGGATAGACTATAGGCAGACAAGGGAAAAGAATGGGACTCTGTTTCCTTCAACATCAAAATTCGAAATGGCGAGACAGGGAGTGATGCAGTTTTTGACAGACCCAGATGGTCTAACGGTGTCCTCAATGAAGGTCTCATTACGATGCCCGCTTGCGCTTACGAGAATAATTACACCTGTGAAGGGAAGGCGATGTCGGCACGTACAATGTTTCGATCTCATGAATTTTCTTGACTACTCTCGACGAAGCTCAAAGTTTGACTGCCCAGTTTGCAATACAAATACTGCGTATCCTGAAATGTTGGTGGTTTCGCCGTACATAGAACATGCTTTGGAAAAATACAATGACTGCGACGAAGTTGAAATATTCCAAGATGGAACGATGGTTCCCATGGAACGGAAGCAATCAGGCGTCGCCTCGGACGACGAAGATGAAACTGAAACTGGCGCGCCAACGAAAAATGCCCGTAGCAATGGGAAAGCTGCGGAGATCGTGGATTTGACGTTGGATAGTGACGATGATGAGACTGCTCCTGCGGAACAACCTGGTACGCCCCCATTAATTTCGAGAAGCGAGATCGCTTCTCTGATGCATGCCGCACTGCCCAATGCGACGACCGTTTCCACCGCGGGGACTAAGGACACTCGCAATATGGGACGCGCTCAAGACATGCACGACGCCCTGATGAGGCCGTCCGGGGAGGAGCATGCACCAGATGGAGTTGCAGATGTTGACGAGGAACTGGATTTCTCTTTTAGAGCCGATTTCGCTCCTGTTTCATGGGGGGACCCGTCAGTTGAAGACGATATTGGACATGTTCGGCTACAGCCCAGTAACACTCCAGATAACTGGCCTGTCGACGTGATAGCTATCGATTCGGACTGATACTGTTGTGAAGTTTTGTGCAGAAGTATGTGTTCGTTTGGTAGTAGCCCACGCTGATATCGTGGAAGGTGGTAGGGGTGCCGAATCTCGTCTCGGTATGTTGCAGTCATGGCTAGGAATGTTAAGATTATTTTTCGTACAGAACCTGGAGAGCGACTGCGGTAGGGGCTTGAGACCCTCAGACCACTATGTTCCATCGCAACAGAAATTGTAAATTTGTACAATGCTTGTATGCAGACCGAGCAGTTAGAAGGAACGGGAAGCCCTCTAAACTTTATTACTTACAACAACTGTGCCCCAACCTTGTCATCGGCTCAAAAGCATCTCAATGCGAATGAGCTTTTCGCTCGTAACGGCGTCTGATATTTGGATGCATCCAGCGAACATGCACAGGGCCTTCATTTCGGACCGATAGGGCAGTGGTGGGTTACCTCTAATTTCATGAGGTCTGTTGTCTCCGCGCCTTGGAGGACTATCTAGATGTTGCACTTCGTTTTGTTCTAGCGCAACTTCTGCAATGTTCAGAGCCAGCTGCAGCACTTGAAGTGTATTTTCTTGCAGGCAATGATCGAATTTCGCCTGGGAACCGGCGAGGTCCCATCGACAATTTGCAATGTCGGCTGCAGCAATTGGTACGACACCTGTGTGACGTAGCGCGTCCCATGCCGATTGGTATCTCCCTTTCCAGTATTCTTCAAAAAACTCAGACGTTTTCAAGAGGGCAGCAATGGATGTTGCGACAATATTTGAAGCACAAGAGCTCTGTAGCACCTTTTGTGCTTCTGCTATGGCTGGAGCTCGTCGAGAAGACGATTGCTTATCAACGACCTCTGCTAGATTCCTCATGGTCATATCTGCGCTTTCCGCCAATTCTCCACTCAACTTATACAAATCCGCTGCAATAGCAAATTCGCCTCTCTGCGCAGCCTCTAAAGCCCCAACGTGCGCAGTATCTACCCTGATATTCTCAATGTCAGCTGCGGTAAGACCAGAGGGCAGTTCTTTCCCACGCGGCGGTAGCTTTCCAAGGGCTCCCAGTAGCTCCCCATCGCCATCGCCCTTCGTGAGCAGTTCATATTCGCCAGTCTCCAGGATGAGTTCCTTCAGAGACTGGCGCAACCTATCTCGGTCCCGCAAAGTCATCAAGTAGAGCGCTGCTTCGGTTGGAAACAAGCGCGAAAAGTTTGAGATATAGCGCGCAAGTATAGCATGGAAGGCCATATCGTCATCAATCCAGCGTAGCTGATAGAGGACTATGGCGATGTGAACAGCCGCGTGCATGAGGTGCTCGTTAGCGTGGGATGTGAGGTAAGAAACAGCCTCCTCGTGCAAACCACAGCACACAAGGACAAATGCGTAGACAAGTGGCTGCTTGCCTTCGGGGTCAAAGTGCTTGCTTCCGCACACTCGCATATTTTCCTGGATCTCCGTCAAGTTGACGAAATCCGAGTTGGAGGTCCACTGGCCCAAGGTCGCTTCCTGTTCGAGCGGAGGACGACAAAGCCACAAGCGGAACCAGAGATAGTCTTCGACGGACGCAAGCAAGCCCGCTATGTCCTCATCTGGTAACGCCAACGAGTGCGCCTGATCGGTAGGTCCGGGCGAGTGCGACGACATTCTACCTTCCGTTCCCTCTAGCACGTCGTCATACGAGTGAAGGATTTCGAGTCGCATGAGGAGGGCGATGGACGCCCGTAAGTATGGGTCATTCGAAAGCCATGCCTCTTCCGCATACAACCTCGCTAGCGACTCATGGGCGGCTTCCGTACACAGCATCCCCGGAGTCATCGGCGCGCCCTCGTCCTTAATGTCATCGGCCATACGCGCGTCGCCATCGCTGTGACTGAGGTCCCAAAAACGATTCCTCACGCGGTCTCTCCCCACCGCAAACTCGTCAAAATAAGGGATCAGCTTACGTACAAGCGGATCTCTCACGGCATCAGCACTCTCCAGGACAGCAAGGGCCGCGCGGGCATTGCCGACACGCAAGCAGTAAAAGACTCGGGGCCAGAGGGGCACGGGTTGGTTGTGGGAGTGGGGGTGGTGGTGTTGATGATGGTGGCCATTGTCAGCCTCCTCGTAGCATCTCCCTTTCAATTTGCGCTCCTTCTGCAAGGCATGAACATAGTCCGTGACGGCCTGCACGACGGGCGCGGGCGCGGCCGTGCGCGGCTTCTGCGGCAAATTGGGGACGGTCTCCGCGAACTGGTCCTCCAGGACGACGCGGGCGCCCCACACTAGCAGGTGAGGCGGCGGGCGGGGGTTGGCGGCGAACCTTGCCACGGAGGCCAAGACGGCGAGCATCTCGACGAGATGCGGGGCGTCGCGCACGTCGACGGCGGCCTCGTGCATGAGGAACGGGGCGGAGTGTGGCTGGGCATCGAGGGCGACGGCGCGCGCGACGTCGACGTAGCGGTGGTGGACAGCGAGGGCGATGTCAAGCGCGGCGGGGCCCTCGGAGCGGTCGTCGTCGGGGGCGAAGAGGTGCCTCTGGGGGGCGGGGCGGCTGGCAGGCGGGGCGGGCGCCCGGTGCGAGACGAGTTGGGCGTTGTCGCG